AGAGCCAAAAGTTTTACACCGTTCGATTCGCCGTTTAAAGCTCTACAAAGTTATACGTCCACTTTTTCGAGATTTGTTTTTGTTCAAAAGATATTCGACCTACATCGAATAGGACGATCTTTCTCGGTGGAGTTATGGGCATTTTTCGAAAAACGGATATTTTTCCGGTTTTTGACCATCGCACATGTGAATAGCTAAGAATTTCTAGATTAAGAATGTGGTTTTTATAAACTCAAACCGAGTGAGTTCAATATAAAAAATGATCTTTTGCAAATTCGCTATTATCTAGGCTATTATTTGCAGATAACTTTTCTTATTGAAAGTGAGCACTTAAAACAAAAACTTTAACTTCATTGAATAGCCCGTAAATTGAAGTATATTTCACACTATTTGAACCTATAAAAAGTGCACTTTCGATTTTTCGCCAAATGTCCACCTGAATGCCCGCTATGCGTGTAAACAAATTTTCCAGACACACCCCATAGAATACGTTTATTGTTTCTTGGTGTTTGTCGTTACTTTTCTCTTTCTCGTTTCTTACTCTACTGCCTAATAGGCATACTAAATATGATAATGTGTATGTCTTTCGCTGTAAAGGTATTCAAATATAGAAAACTAAATATTTTGACAGAATACCTCTTCTATCAAACATAATTTGAATATTGATAGATTAAAATTATAATCGAAAATTTTTACTGTGAATAAAACTAAAACAAAATGATTATTATTTTTTATACGATTTTCTATTTTGAATAGAATCACGTACAACAAAAGATCTATTCCTGCTAAATTCTCCATATGATATGAATCAAATGAAATAATTCTTTTGCGTAGTGCCTTTTGAATATTTTTCGTCGAAAGACATTTGGTCGAAACATTTTTCGTCGAAGATATCTTGTCGAAAATTTTTCCGCAGAAAAACAGTTTGCAGAAAAACATTCCGTCGAAAAGAATTTTGCCGAAACATGATTTTATCGAAAAACAATTCATCAAAAGGGCCGAGGTATAGTTTACGCGAACAAAAGAGGAAAAATTATACAGAATGACTAAACAATTGCTACCCTTATCTGTCCTTCAACAAGAAGAAGTCTACGTCAGTCAACAAGTGCAACACGTCAGGATGGACAAAAAAAAGAAGACCGCGAAAAAAACGTGTGGAAAAGCATTTTGCCGAAAAACATTCTGCAAAATTCAAGAATGGCTTGAAACTCTAGCCAGTCGGTATAAAAACAAGGCGATCATGCTCCACGAGTACCTCGAAGGCCTTTCTCTCTTGGTCGCAATGAGCAGCCAAAGGTCTCTTATTTTGATTCTACTCACGTCTCTCTCTCTCTCTCTCTCTAATGCTTTCTTTCTCTTTTCTTGTTTGTTTAAAAAAAGATTGGCAATTTCTGGATATTGATTGGATGTTTTCGACGAAATGTCCCTTCGACAAAAATTTTTCGACAAACTCACTTTTGACCAAAAACATACTTACCGTTCCAGTCCATGATTATTAAAGTACATATTTTTGATGATAATATTAACGTAAGAAGTATCATCTTGTACATCATTGTACTCATTCTCTTTCAGATTTTATCTGTCTTATCTACTCACAAAATACATGTATTTCTTTTTTTTCTAAGCTGTTAATTATTTATAATCAATTTACAAGTGTCGATGAACTGGTTTTCAAACAAAATTATACAAATTTTAAGCGTGTTTTTCTTTATCTAAGAAAAAAAACATTTTGATCGGACTTTTCAAGATTAAGTTCAAAAAATTTTGGTGTATGCTGATGAAATACTTGTACTCACATGAATCACTCTCATCATCATACATATTTCGTGTTTGAAACAAAAGATCGGCCAATTCAGTATTTTCCAATAATGATTTTAATGTTGATGTAGGATAATTACATGGTAAAATCGATATTGAATTTCGTGTAAACATTATCAAATCTTTTATAGTAGTACAAAACTAGAAGTTTTCACAATTATACCTCTATAGTAACAATAGTAGCAGAAGTAAGGAGATAATCAACAATAATAGTGTAACTATGAGCAAACAGAAAAAATAACCTGTTTTGTCTTCTCTTAAATATTATAATGATAATGATAATGATAATAGCGTTCTGTGTTTTGCTAATTTTTTCTTCATGCTTTTTAAATATTTTTTTACTATTATATTTTGTTTTTGTTTTCTTTATTATAGAAGAAAAGAAAGAAAAGACGCGATAGTAACCTTTCGAATACACTCAGTACAAGCAGACTTTTCGTATGTACGAACTCATTGTCTCGGCTTATATAAAAAAAAATTTTCGTATTCTTCTATACTATTTTTACATATATATTTTTTTTTTTATTCTTTACTTTCTGTACGAAGCAAAGTCCAAAATATGCTGTTGTGCTCGGCAAACTCTTTTAATAACGTTTAGTATTTTTTTCTTCAGATATTACCGGTAGAATCTAATTGTTATCTTATTATAACTCAAAAACGTACGAGAAAGAAATCTTTCCATTAAAAGATTACTTTTTTAGTTTATATATATCTTTCTCTCTCTCTATATAGGCCATTCTAGCGATGCGCACGTGATATTCGCAAATTTTAAGTGTCTGTTATCTCTGAGGTGTGACGTTCGCTGACGCTGCTATTAATACCACAAACACGTATAGAGTTACTCTCGATACCCTGGAAAACTAGCCTTAGTGATGCTTGTTGAGATGAGTTTGCCTCAAAAATCTACATCGTTACGCAAATGATAGTAAAAGACAAAATTTTCCAATGAATGCAGCTTCTACCTGAAAATCTACTGATTCCTTTATCATTTTTCAAATTCTGACCGTATGTTTTGTAGAAGATAGATCGTAGTACAAAATCGATAGCCCAAGATTTTGTTAAAACTGTTTAGATTTTACTGGAGACTTCATTTTTTTGCTTCGTTACAGATGTAACAGAATGCGATTCGTGACAGAAAACGAAAAATGCTCTTGTAACTAAATCAGAAGTGCAGAAGCAATTCTAAATGGTACGAATCCTTCTTGGAAATCTCGAGATGATGGCAAAATAAAAAATTTTATTTTCGATTTTTCAATAGTTCAAAATTTCAATAGTATTCACCTATCCATAACTTTTACTTCATGAATTTGTTCATTGAAACTATCTAAACTATTTGAACATAGTTAAGAATCTTTCATGGAAGCAAAGGTTCTTTTTGTCGGCTAAGTTTAACACCATTCAAACGTAACTGATCAGTTATTATTGATCTTATTACTTATAATATGTTGAGTAGCAAATGATAGATAGTATTACACAATGAATATTATTTCATTTTCTCGTACTATGTATGATAGGTGTGTTTGTGAAAATAGAGAAAAATGACATACATAATACCTTTATTCATCTAGTTGTCAATGAGTCAAACGTCAAAAGCCAGTTTAATAAACAATCGAGCTATATTTAACCGATAAATAAAGTTAGTATATATGCCGTTGCTCTTTGTCTACTGATAACGAAGTTCTTTATCGTTTAATACATGAATGAAAAAAGTTTATATTTCTTCTGTTATTTCTTCTGCTAACACAGAAGCGATATGAGAAATTTTAGTGTGAGTTGCCAAACAAAATATTTGTGTTCAGGCTCATCATCCGTAGATTATCCTAGTGAGAAACTTACTCGAATCTAATTAAAATCTTCTTAAGATTTCATGTAAGATCTTAAATATGATGTTAGTAAGATAATTTTAAGAAGTACCTAAGAGTCTTACTAGTGTGTTTTTGCATGGGCGATGGGCATGACCATAGCTGTCTTCTACGAGTATACAACTATCTCAATACCGCAAAATAAATTCATTCATAGAACGAACGATATTTACTGACCGATTGATCACTAAAAATCTTAGCATATGTAAGTTCAGAAACTGACTAGTTTTTACTCTATTTGTCCTCAACTGTATTGTGTCATTTTTATATTGCTAATCAATTGAGTGTAGTCACTTCACGTATGTGTTTAAAGCACAACTCCTATTGATAAAGCATGCTTACTGTCAAGCGGATTGTGATTCGGATCCATTTGTCCTCCTCCTCCTTGTTGTTGTTGTTGTTGTTGTTGTTGTGACGCTACTTGGGATGGTAATGGTAGTCCAATGCCACTTCTTAGCAGCGAGGTTTGATTTCGATGAGAATAGTAAGGATTTGTCGGTACTTGCTGATGATAAATGGGTGGCATATGGGATGGATGGTGCGCATGGTGGTGATGATGATGATGTTTATACGGTGACATTTGTTGAGTAACGAATGAATAAGCGGGATGCATTGACTGAGGCGGCATCAAATTAACACCCAGATAATCTTGATGAACCATAACAACGTTGCAACTAAAAATCATAAATAAATCGTGATTAGACAGTGAAACGTATTCTTTTCTTTTTAATACTTTCATATAGATTCAAGCATCAAGAAGCACTTCGAACAGCCATAAAAACATTTACTTTTTTGCTATGCGCTGTGCTTGTATGGTCTATCTGAATGAACGGTATAGATGTCGCTACATATAGTGATACTATAAGGAGGCCACAGTTACTCTCGTATACCATGTATTGAGATACACATAAATCGTAGGAGATATTCACCCACTATATTTATTACTAACTGTAACGGAGAACGTTACAGAGTTTAATAATAGAACGTTCTATGAAAGAATTTATCGCATCTATTTTCCTCTTCTGCGTGTAAAAAGGGATATTTTCCAGCGTTAAACGAATGCCATGCAGAATGTGGCAGACATTCCACTAGTATGTTGAACAAAAGAAGTTTTATATTAAGTCACTTGTTATGTGCAAGGAGCAAGCAATTTTATACGGAAACATTAGCGATGCAACGTGTTTATCAACACTCAAATTTCTACACGGAATACTTCGTCGTTTTATGTTAAAGAAATCTTTATTTTAGAATAGCAAAGCATGAAGAGATAAAGTTATGAACGAATTACTAATAAAATACACATACATAAAGAATTTGCAAACTTCGTATCATTCGATCATGTTAAACGCTTGAAATATGTGCCAATACATTATCTACAATTAAAAACAAAAACATGATATAATAGTGTTTATCACGTTTATAGAAGAAAATATATTGTCGAAAAAGTACATCCGGTCTATCAGCTAAATCAAAAAATAACTGCAAAATGAAACGTCGGACAATCCGTAAGTTTTTATGCATCAACTGTACATTTAATTAATCAATCGCATATCGCACAGGTATAATGTGAAAACTGATGACATTAGAATGTGTAACATATGGTGCAACAGTTCGTTCAGAAGAAGGAAAAAATTTTATTATAAAAATAAACTACCGTATAAAACCGTATAATTTTGATTTATTTATACATTCATTCTTAGAGATTGATATAATTGTTTTAGAAATAACGGTATATTCGATGTACCGGTTTTCTCATTAACAGTGATTGAATTTCATATGCTAGCTTGACAAGTAAATCATACGTTTAGTACATTTTTCTAGCAAATATTGTATATAATAATATTTAGTTTATAAGATTTTTTTCGTTTTTCAATTAAAATGTTCAAAAATGCAGAGAAAGACAAATACTGCCAAGTATTTTCAATTTATAGCGTTCCCAGAGATTTCTCATAGAAATTTATTACTATAAATATTAAAATTTGAACTTAATAATTTGTTTCTAAGACAACTGATTAGGCAGATGACTTAACATGATAAGAAAATGCTGAATATGTTAGTAAACGAATTCATACTACTCAAACTCAATCAAAAAATGATTTTTTAATCCTAATTTAGAGCAGAATACGTTTTTCTTTCGAAGCCAGTAATCGGACCGTATTCGAGTGCGATATGATATAAGGTAAATTCCTACGTTATGCTAATAATTATCTCAATTTTCCTTTTCTAAGCAAACATGTTTTTTTTTTTGATGAACACAAAGCTGCTGGTAGTTAATGTAAAAGAAAATATACTCTAACGCAAACATTTACAGTAATTCTACATGAAGATTTGCACTCATAATGAAAATCTGATCAAATCTAAGTCTAATTATTATTTTTTCTATTTTCTAACAACTGAATATTTAATTTTCATTGAAAATTCTTTCTACTACATTAGTCTAGAAACTAGAAGAGAACGATCAATGTTTAAAACTCTTTTAATTACTTTACCTAATTAATTTTATCTTCCATAATGATTGTCTAATGATGATGATAGTACGATATTTGAGTATAAGAAATAATTTTTTTTTCTCGTTTTTTTTTTCAGTTATTTATATGTATGTATGTGATGCTAGTTACTGTTTTAGTCGCCTTATTATTGTTGTTTTTGTTGTTGAGGTGTAATGTAATGTTCAGTCATACAGAAGAAATATACACACATACATAGAAAGAGAGAGAAAGAAGAAGAAAATATACGAGTTATATAAAATATATAAAAATGTATTTTAGTGAACCTTCTGTTGATCTATGTACACACGAGCCGAGCCGAGTATGAACTAGATGAATGTGTGAGTGGGTGTCTTTGAGCATGTGTTCCGTAGGTGCAACTATACAGAGAGAAAGAGAGATGTTCAGCAAAAAAAAAGAAAGAGAAAAAAATGTGCATAACTATGTAATGTTTATGACCATCGTCTTTCTTCTTTTTCTCTTGTGTATTTTGACGTCAATAGTAACTTGAACTATTCTCTTCTTTTTTTTTTCAACTACTGCCCGTTTCTTGACCTATCGATTGGGACAATGATTATTTAATGTTTTCTTCTTTTTTTTTTCCCTTCTTCTCTTTCTTCATCTCTTTTGTACGAGAAATATAAATTTCAGCAATCTCTTTCCTTCTTTTTATTTTCATTATCGGTGAGTTATAAACGACGAACAACAAACAGCTAACCATAGCATTGATATACAGTGCAAATATGTAGCAGCACACACATCAGTGGAGAACGAAAAAAACGCTTTTATCTTCCAACAGTTGTAGGCTACTTTTTTTTCTCGTTCTTTCAACCGACCACAACATCTACAATCCAACTTCTATAATTTTGGTCTCTGGTCGATACTCTTTCTCTAAGACAAACTTATGTCTTATGTTTTACTTCACAACATTTTTTTTATGTAAAACTGTTCAATAACATACGCAAAAAAAAAAAAAACGCAAAAATAAGAACATATTATTATTATGTATAAAACAATGAGAACAAGAGAAAGAGAGAAGAAAAACGTCGCAAAAGTTTTTTGTTCCTTTTTTTTATCGGTCTGTATTTTCGATTCATCTCACCATCCTACCATCATAACTGTTATAAAATTCTTTTTCTTTCTTTGGCCAGTTGAAAAATAGGTCATACATAAAGTATGATGGGATGAACTGTGATCTGACTTTTTCGTATACTGTGAGTGATGTATACAGTGTATTAAAAAAAAAAGAAACATATATAATCCACTCTAATCAGATGTGGTTTAATGGACAAATTAAGAGAGAGAGAGACAGACTACTTTCGTTAGCCTACCACATCAAAAATTCGTTCCCTGAATGTAATTTTATCTAAAGTGCTAAACAAAAGTTCTTTTTTTTAGTGAAAAAAGAAAGTGAGTATTTTACTGCAAAACATCTATTTACATAATCGTCGGAAAGCATCTCTTTATAACGCAATTATTGATTTTTAGCAATCAGAAATATGTTCTATAGCTAAAATGTGATGTAAAATTCTCAGTTTTTTGTATTAGAAAACAATTTTCGATAATATTAAGTATACCATGAGATAAGACGCATTGAGTTTTCAACATTCAGATACATTGAAACTATATGTGAATTTGATTCATGATGTGTTGCACGTGTTTTCTTTCTTTTGGATTTCATAACAGTACGGTTATCTGATGCATCGGACAATATTTGTGACTTGGTCAACTTGAAATGGCAACACCGCGATTAATTGCAAGAAAATATTTATTTAAACTCGAAAAAGTACATAAATATGTTTATAGTTAAACGAATTTCTTATAAATGGCGTTACATAGCTTAGTATAACTTTGAAAACAAATAATAATCAAATTAATTTATAAAGCTCTATTCAAAGGAAGAGGACTTGTGGTTGTATCAATTCATAATTGAAAAATAGACTGCCAATATCCTATTTTCACAATCTAATATAGTAGAAAATAACAACAATGTTTTCTTATATCCAACTAATTATGTTTAATATTCGTTTCAAATATTTGTTTTTTTGATGCTGCATATGATACTTGATCATATTTGTCGATATGTAAATACTTGAAAATGATAAATAATATTAACGATCTTCGATTTCTACAAATTCATATCTGTAATGCGTACTCACCTTAGATATACCGGTATACGTTTATTTTTACTTATAGCATATGAAGAGAATTTTTCTAATAAACTATATTTTCTTCTTCCTTTTTTTCTATATTTGGCACTAATGATTAAAAATTGCACGTAATACCAGATGTAAACAGTTAAATAAACAATGTATACTTCTCAACACAAAGAACTAGTACCTTTCTTGAAGTGAAACACTAATTGAGTCAATAAACATGATCTGAACATATACAATGATTATACTTTGTTATAGTTACTGTGTTATACCAATGAAAAATAGGTACATTCGTCGATCTAGTATGTATGATTTTGATTCTTTTTTGACACTGATTAGAATATGATCGTAGTGGACCTCAAATTAAAGTCGAAACGTTCCAAGTTCAACATTACATTTATCTGTTAATAATTATGCTCACAAGAAGTATTTTCGTCGAGCTGGATAAAGAATAAATGAAACCATTATGTTTAATATAAACATGTATGATCAATATTGTAATATTTATGTTTATTTTTCATGTATGTAGCTGAATAAACATGTCCACTTAGTGACTACAAAGGTTGAAAAAACTAGATAACAACAAGAAGTCATCGTAGATAACGGGTGGCCCATAATAAACTGCACTAAATGTTAATGCACTTTGCTATCACTTCTTATTTATAAAGAAATTTCCTTTATATGGCAAACAGTAGAGAATTTAATTCTTTACAAGATTGTATATTCATTTTTAAGATTCATCTCTGATGTTGGGCACAGTAACTCTAACAAGA